GACACTGATGTGACCTTTGGCTGGCTCCAGTTTTAAAGCAGGACCTCCCGGACAATCCCAGATGATGCCTAAGAGACTATAACCCTGGGCTTGGCCTGGAAGAGGAAACTGCGCAGTCCTACTTTACATTAGATAAAGAACTAAGAAGCCTACCCGCAATCACAGGAGGAACAGAGGTGCCATTTGCTTTTTCCCACAGCAGTCTGCATGATCATGCTGGGAAAGAGGCATTGCTGTGGCAGTGTTTATCAAGATCCAGGCTGTGCTCTAAAGCAGTAGGAGAACTTTGCTCTTCTCAGGGCTTCCTGCTGGACAGGGTTAGTCCTGCTTTGCCAAGAGTGGTGTGCTACTCCAGATACGCTGCTCAGAAAATCAGAATTTTCAAATTCTCCCTCTTTCCTGTGCTCACAGCATAATTTCATTCTTTGCCCTGAAGGTGGTTGTTCTTCATTACATGCCTTTTGCCAGCTCCAGCAAGCAGCTTTTAAGATTTCACATCCGCATGCTTTTGAAAAACTCAGCGAATTGGCCAGGCCTATGTTTGTAGGCTGTAGGCACATAGATGTTGGAAAGTGACAGGACCGTGTGCAGTAATCTTCCAGTCTTGCTTAACCTCTGTAAGTTCCTCTAGCTAGTAGGATGCTGATTAAACATTAAGCCCTTAAACACATCCTTTGCCTCAAAATCAGTCTAAAAGCAGGACAGGAATTGGCTAGTGTTGATGGCCCTGGGAGTGTACCCTTGTCCTGTGTACAAAGAAACACAGATCCAGCCCCTGCAAGTAAGTTCTGGCTGTGCAAGAGATGGATCACCACAGAGAGGTCATAAGACACAATTCAGGCCAAAGGTTCTTGCTTGGAACTTGTTTACACTGACTTATGTGCCAAGATCCTGCACTTCCTTTTTCTTTTGGGTTGTCCCAGACTGTCTTCTTCCCATGCAGCTCTTTAGGACAGCCCAGGAGTCAGGGCAGACTCTGGCTGGCAGTTGTTCTGGCTTGTGGCCAGGGAAAGGGCTCACATGAACACCCGTTCCCACTGGCCAAAGGAGCCGCATATCTCCCTTCCCAGGGAGATGCAGGCTGGCATCTTAGAGAGAAGTTCTAGTCTCCTGAGCTAGAGGCAGCTCCAAAAGCATCAGAGGGTTAAACACAAGTGAGGCAGTCTTTCTGGAATGAGAACTGCTCTGACTTTTCTTTGGAAACCTCTATAGGTGCCCATACTTCCCCCTCTCCTAAGGCAGTGTCAAACACACATTAAATTCATTTCCTCTGCCAGTCAGTTATTCCCCCTGCAGTTTCCACTTCTGCAATTTCAAAAATCTGTACACAGTTATGATATTGCCCTTTAGGGAAGGAAGCTGTCTCAAGAAAACCTGCACCCTCAGAAATACTGAGTTATGACTGAACAGTCTTGCAGTCCTTGAAACTAAGCTACTCCCTCCAGAGTAAATAGTTCTTGAGTTCTTGTTGAGGAACTCAACGTTTTGGAGACTCTGTGGATGCTCCCCTGTCAAATTTGGGTGAAACTGTCTGTACAAGAGACTTGTACAGCAGTTTGACTGTGGAGGGGGTGAGGAAGCCTGGACTCCTGTTCCCTTGTTCTCTAGAGGAATCTTTAGATCCTGTCTGGGAAGGGAGGGTGCCTGCTGCTTGCTGAATCACCTGTGGAGATAGAGCAGGCATATGGAAGAGCTCCTGTGCGTGCTGTGATAAGAGAAAGGACTGACGAATACATATCCCGTCACCTCAACTGCCTCACAATCGGCCGAAACGACTTGAGCTGTGAGACACCCTGCCTCAGAGAGACACCCTTCCCCCTCTCTAGCTGCTAACCTTGTGTCGCTCAAGCAGACAGGAGGCCCCTCTCACAGCAGAGGACTCCATCTCTGTCCAGCTCATATGCTTCAGCGTGCAAGAGGTGAAGGGACAAATATTACCCTGGATACATGCTTATATCCAGTCCAGCAAACAGCTCTTAAAGGGACAAATTCTAGAGGTTTCAGTCCTGAATATCCCTTGAAAAAAACTGGACAAGTTGATACTCCAAAGGATACATACTGAGAGCACAAACTGATTCTACTTGTGGTCTTTGTTGGGCTTGAATTCAGAGCCCCCAAAACATGACACATTTAGACCCTTGTAGAAGGTAACACCGACACCGAAGGCTGTATTCAGCAGTTCCTGAAAGGGAATGACTGCTTGAGGCAGTTTATACAGCCCAGCAAAGCGCCTCACAGTGTGAGGGGGCAAAAGCGGGTCTTCACATTAACCCAGGGACCTTTAAGGAAGCAGGATTTCACAGCATGAGGAGAAACATCTGAGGAACAGAAATACACTGTTCCCTAGCCACAGCAAGGAGGGGAGCACCAGTACCAGCCAGCTTGCTCTGCTGAGCTGGTCAAACCAACACTGGCACTGGTTGGTCTGGAACAGTTGCAGGTCAGAGATTTGGACTCTCAGTTGTTTATGGTATGGAGGATCAGACTTCACGCAGGCCGGAAGGACAAGGCCAGCCAATCACTGGAACAGTGGTCTTGCTGTCTGCCCTACATGTTTGCAAAACTGGTTCCTTCCCTTTGTGACCATGCGAAGGGCTACAAGACCAGTTAGAAAACCTGCTATTCAGTGGCAGATGGAGAATACTGCCATTAAGTTTAGAAAATGATTTAGCCACTGAAAAGGAAGGTGAATCACCAAGCAAGCAATGAACTGTCAATGAACTGAGCCTGTGTCAGCAACAGGGAGATGTGTACCTAAGTTGAGGGACAGTGTAGACAGTCCCAGTGCCTTATCTATATTTGCACAACAGAATCAAGCACCAAGCTAGTAAGACAGGGCTGAATGCTTTAGAACATTGCTCACTGGATTACTGCTTTGTGTATCCAGTTCCACTGAACAGCCCATTGTGTGATCTGAAAACCAAGAGTCAGAACCAGCCTAAGACACTAGGAGGAAACACCTAATAAAGCAGTCACACTACAACCCTCCCAGCTGCTTATTCAGAGGAGGTACAACTTACAAAGTGGTGCCTGGAAAGAATGATCCAAGGCAGGGCTGAAAACACTCAATTCAGTGCTTTAAAAAAGCAGGAGAGCCTTTATATTTATTCTCTACCAAAAGTAGTCTTGTCCCATCAGCTCATAGCAAAATTTCTCCCAATGCAGCAGATACCAGCATTATGTCTACTGAACAGCAGTGCATAGAAAATGCAGGGCAGAGGGGGCAGGGAAGCACAAGTAAGCAAGTGTCATGCTTTCTTCCCAAATTGTAGCACCACTGCAAGGCAAAGGACAGCTTTTCTTTCCCAGGAGTTAAGACTCCTCCAACTTCATTATGAACCACCTACCATTCATTCCTGTGAGACATCACCCATAACTTCTCATATCAAGCCCCTCTGGGCATGACAAAGAGCTCCCATGACTTGATGCAATCAAGCATAGAATTTTCCTTTCAGGTCTTCAGTCATGTAGTTAAAAGTAGCTGTGAAGTTCAAAACCAGTGGCCGGCTTTGCTGAGTTTCTTATGGTCTCTCAACTACATTTTCCAGCTACTGAGCACGTTACTCGCTTTCACAATGTTTCTCTCCTAAAGGAGCTTTAAAATTGTGGCTTATAGTATTTAATGCTAGGGTCACTTTTCAAAAATCAAGGGTATCTGGAGGACGCCTACTTTCATACCCTTTCCCCTACTCCTACTGTGTCTTTGAGGAGGGGGGGGGAAGAAAGTACCATTCCTAACAATCTCTGTTTACCAAATTTTAAGACTTTGGGCTTGTAAAAATGGTTCTATTTGCAATGGAGGGAGACAATCAGTTCTTTTTATTTGATAACCAGTCAAAGGGTAACCTCTAGTGGCTGCAGACTTTCTTTACAGCAAACCAACTGTCTCTTGACATTGCAGTACGGACAGTTGCCATTTAATTAGACTGAATTGCTTCTGCAAACTCAGCACATCCTCTTTTCCACATTGCATCATGCTAGACCACAGCTTTGCTCTCAGAAATGACCTGTAAAGTAACACAGGAGGCCCCCATGTTGTGTATGAGAAGTGTAAAAAAAATTTTTTTCTTGCCTGCCAGGAATTTCACTGGAAAACTGAGCCTTTTAGTGGAATTTCACTGGAGACTCGAACTGAGCCTTTTCTACTTCACTGGTCATTGCCTGTGGGGAGTTTCCAAAGATATTTTGCATGCAGAAAATCTTGATATCTTTCAACTGTACCAATAAGACTTATAGAAACTTACAGGAACTTAAGAGTTTCAGGCACTGCTGAAGACCAGGCACAAGTAACAGGAAAATTTGTTTAAACCAGTACTACTACTAGAAACATGCCTCTGAACTACAGCAAAAAGGAACCATGCTGTTATCAAGGGACCTGGCCAGAGAAGAAATTCAGGTTAAAAATCAAGCCATCAAGAGAGGTGGGGAGGGGGGACGAAAGTGTTTTTAAACAGTAATTCCCTGATTCAGTGCTCTGGACTGCCTGCTGCCAAGCACCGTGCTTGTGTCAGCACAAGTAAGGAACTGCCTCTAGTGACAGCTGTGCAAAAAAGTGACTGCAGAACTGTAGTGGAATCAGGGATGACATTTACATGTAACGTAAAGGATGCAATGGCACTATTAAGCCCCATCTAAGAAACACAACTGTTGATAATCAGAAAGCACCTCTAGAACTCTACTTCAGATACAGGTTGGGCCAGGGCAGAAAACACTGTCCAGCCCTACCAACGGGAAGACTCCTTAGAACCTCATTTCTGAATCTGCTGATCTAAACTTATTCACAGTCAGTTTGGTGCCGGATCTCAGTGGAAACCTTATGAGATGTGATAAAGTGTTCAGAAACTGCTTAATCACTGCTCTAGGTTTCATTCTAGAGAAAAGATCATATGAGAGAGAATACATGCATGAAGGTTTATTTAACTAATGACATGCTTAAACTGATAAAAGGTCCGCAAGACAGAAAAACTCTATGGCTTTGCTGAAGGATGAAGTCAGGAGCCTTCACAGTCAAACATCTTTTAATACAATCCAGGACGCGATATAGTGTCAAAAATAGCATCAATGTAGGGCAGCGATTCCAACTGAACAGCAGAAAATCAATTCAGCACCATGCCACCACTCATCTGAAGAAAAACAACACACCAAATAATCTGTACATTCAAGACAGGGCTGGTAAAAAGATATCTCACATATGAGCAGCTGGGTCTGAGCCTCTGATCTGCCTGATGAACTGATTCCAGGTGTTGGTTGCAGCAGCTGAGCTCTTCCAATGCAATAGCTGTTCTTGGTCTCTGCTTGCTGTGGCATCAGCATTGCCATGGCCACTGTATAGTCAGCAGGCACGGGAAACTCATTCCCCATCAAAAATAAGGACAGAGTTTGAAGAACAAAGTACACAATTTTCAATACACACACACACACACACAGAATAGCAGTTCACAGATATGCGAGCACCACCCCCTCATAGCTAAACACAGATTTCCATTGGCATTAAGTTTAACTCTTTAAAGAATGGTAACCACCCCCGCACGCTCCCAATTTGCCTTCTGTTTTCTCAACACAGAAGAAATGGAGGTTCTCTCTCCCCTTTCCATTTAACTTATTTCATCAGAAAAGACAATGCTTCAAAGTGCATGATTTGTAGGAATGACAGCTTTTAGGTCCAGTGATAAAGCCTGGTCACTTTGGCTAACAGCTAGAACTAGTTCCTGTGGCCTGAAAATAACTTAATTACCATTTAAAATAAATTCAGATTTCTGACACCAAGAGATTATAATCTTTTCTGCCTTCCCTGACTGTCCAAGAGACTATTACAAAGCAAAAACAGCTTCCCAGGAAAGCAAATATGCTCTTCCACAACGACAGTAGGTGATGCTCAGCCTTCAGCTCCCTGGCTTCACGCTGCACAGCTACTGAAATGACGCTGGGACTCACTGTCATTACTACCAGCGGGACTACAAAGAAGAGGGAGGGCACATCCGTGATTGTTCAAAGTTATAATGCATTCAAAGCACTTCACAGGTGGCTACTTCACATAATGTTAACTTTCTGGTAAAATGCACATTGCAGCTGTCTTCTTACAAACGGTACTGTTGTCTCCATTTCGAGTCCTGTATGTAACACACAAACTGTTGGCTTGATACATGAACCTTGATATATAACGGGTTAACAACAACCCTTAACTACACAAATAAAAAATGCCTCTCTGCCACTGGAAAGGAAACAGAGTCACAACGCTGTTCCTCTAGCTGTCTCAATACTATAAAGAGAATTATTCATGAAGTTTTGCACATGAAAAGGAACATTCATTTTTACTGAGCAAAGGAACATATGAGAATGACACAGCTTTGTATAATTCCTCTTGCTAGTTTACTGCAGCTTCTTGGTTATTTAGGCTATTCAGACTTAGAACATATGAACTACACTAGCGTTCCAGGATATCTGCAGGAGGATAGTGCTACAGCAAACTAAAACCATTGCTACAACATACACCTCTTAAGACTGATATGAATAGAATAGACAATAGAAGGAGGATTACCCATTTACCTGTTTGAAACAGTGTCCAGCCCCTGCAGTGATTTAAAAATACATATACATCATAGCTCAAATTGTTCTAGTGGGGCAGTGTTTGCTCCAAGTATATATACCCTCCCTCACAACTGCAAGTGCCGAGATAAGAGACCAACTGTTAGACACTACCAACCAAGTGCTGCCACCAAACGTGTTCCTTCAAGAGTCAAAAAAAGATTTAGCCTTAGTCCTGTGCAAAAAGACTGTAGTTGGCCACTCAGATAAGCTGCCTAAAAGGGGTCCTCTGTGGATCTTCACCGCCAGAGTGATCAGAAGCTGTATTCATCTGACAACAGAATCTGGGCAAAGGCCTGTGACTGACTTTGAAAGAGGCCCAAGAGACTCAGATGTCTAAATCTCACTGATTTTCAGTATTGCTCCTTGATTTCTCAGACTAAGATGACTTTGTGACCAACTACGAGTGATTTCTGAAATCAAACACCCAAATTTCTGTGCACTAGAAACAGAGAAGGGAAAGGAACAGTATTTTTCAGATATGGCTTAAGAAATGGTATAGTATTCAAGTTTCAATGACATAATTACATACTGCAGGGATAGGGACAGAGAAAACCACATCTTTGCCAGCTGCAGGAAAGATTTTGCAGATAAAAACAATTAATTTTATTTGAATGTAATATTAAAGTCCTACAAATCCTGCCAACACACAGCTCTAGGAAATCTGACAACTTAACAAGGTGAAAGTTAATGCTGTTTGTTTTTTGGTAAGGCAACTTATAGGCAAACTCCAAAGAGAGGAGATATGGAAAACACTATGTAAGAGAGCCCACTATATTTAAGAGATTCGACTAAACGGGATACATTTGGAGTGACTTCTTTTGTCTGAGGGAGCTCATAGGACAGTAGCAAATATCAAAAGTGATACAGCTAGCTTTGAAAAAAGTAATAGAAGGCAGCATCAGGCAGCGTGTTTGTAGAAACAAGATATGACTGTTGAAGTGTCCTCCTGTCGATACCCATTAGTATAACTGAATTATATCAACCTTTCCAGTTCAGTCAAAAACAGACAGTAAACCTATGAAAAAAGCAAGCAGTAAGTGATTCAATAGCTAGACAGAACTTTCTGAGTGGCAAACAGGAAAAAAAGAAAGGCCAATGCTGTCTTTCAGACAATGTGAAATAATCTAATTGCAAATATAAACACTGCAAAAGACATCTTAAAATGTTGTATATACAGTCTAATATTTCATTAAGTTAATCTGGAAAATTTTTTCAGAATGGCACCTTAAGAAGAAATTCCAAATTTGTTCATACGCTTTATTCTACATTCTACTATCACACATCATCTTTGCTGGCCAGTTGAACAAGTCAGCATCATCAAACTCATCTGTGACCACTGAATATTGACATGACCCTGTCCAGCCTAGCTGAGATTTTATTACCACAATTTTTAAGTTTCCCCTTTTATAAACTTCAAGTTTAAGTAGAAATAGTATTCCCCCACTCTAGTGCAAATGCTTGAATTGAACTGCTGAAGAAACCAGCATTTCCTCTTTCCCCTCATTTCATCTATAGTGGCAAATCTTACTAATGAGCCATTTACTGAAGTACTGGAAACATTCAGTGGTATGCTCTGGACCATCCACTGGATGTTTTTGTACACGTGCTTCATGTGGGAGAAGTTCCACAGCCAGACACAAAAAGTTTTAGACATAGACACTGGGAAATTGCATCCAGTTATCACAGACTACAAAGCATTCTTGCAGAAGAGAACTGCACCAATTCTCAGGAACGAGAAACAACAACTTCGCCTCATCCAAGCTCTACCAGAAGAATACTGTAGGCAGCAGCGTTACCTTTATCAGGACTCTCTATCACTGGCAAGACTCACAATGTGGAGAAGTGGTGTCACCTAGAGTTCTCCTGGGAAAACTGGTCCTCTCCCAGAACAATATTACTCAGAAGGTTCCCCTTCTGCCTCCCTCCATTTACTTCTGGATAGTGCATAATTTTCTGTATCCCAATGGCTAATTCCCCCAATGGCTGATTTACTGATATTAGCTCAGTTGTTATTCTCAGATTTAAAGCTTCATTTCAGCTTCCAGGAAAGATGAAGAAACGGAAGTGTCCGAGCTACTGGGTTGCAGCTGCCCGAAATGTGAGTCAGTTTGAAGTCATTATACTGATATGGAATAGGAAGGTAAACAAAATTAACCCTCTGAGATATCCTTGTCCAGTCTGGATGCCTTCTTCTGAGAGGCGAACTCCTCAAACAGATGCAACTGGAATGTGCCATGGGTTCAGGTGCAAGGAGAAGGGTAATTAGCAGTCATGGTTTCTTTTCTGAACTGAATGCTTTCATAGCTTACTCATCACAAGGTACTGATAATAACTTATGATTCGTTTGTTTAAAGTCCACTTACAGTAGGGCAATGATTTTATTAACCAGTGCCTTATTGCCAAATCTGGGGTCTTCAATGTTCCTGTGAGTGGAAACTTGGTATTACTGGCTCAAGCCAGATACTGGTGCCAGGGGCACACAGCTCTACAGTACACCTCAGCAAGCTCTTTGCCTCTGACAACTTGCATTGCATTGAACTGCAAAACTATCCTATGATATGGATTTGTACCCATTTAGGATGGTTTGAAATCATTACTGTTCCATTTTTACCTAATATCAAGACCTGAATTCAGATCTCTAGAGGTAAAGGGTTAAGGAGTTAATCAGATACTTCACACTACTTCCTCCTTGACCTGTCTTAAATAAAGGAGTAAACAACTAAGCCCTGCATTCAAGTGTGCTGCTTAGTAAATACTAGACAATACTGGGCCCAGTGGAAATTATATTCTGACTTGGCTCCTGGGTTTAGAATTTGTCTTGGGAATCCTAAGACACCTGCAAAACTAGTTGTTGGATGATAGTCATGTCAACCATTCATGGTGTCCCTGAAGCCCCACACCTCCAAGACAGAGATCTGGAAACTTTCAGAGCACAACGGCTGATTATTGAAAGTATTGCAGTGACTTGTTCTTCCATGGTTCAGATCTGCATCAAGGTAGAGAGCCTGGCCGTCTCCACCTCCTGCAAAGAGGCAAAGACAAGTGTTAGGCTGTCGCTGCATTTCTTAGGATGTGAAACTCTGCTACACAAGAAAAGAACTTAAGTGCTTTTCCATGGGAGAAACTGGAAGCCTTATGATGCTTACTTACTGTTTACACCTAAAGACAGAATACGCTCACATGCATAGCTTTTAAATGAAACTATCAGAACAGGAAATAACTTTATAAATTACTGCAAGGCAATAAGACCAAAAAGCTTGATTCAAATGCTTGCCTTTAAGATTTGTTTTTCAGTGCAGGAGGATCCAGCTACCAACTACATATTTTCACTCCAGTAAAGAAAAATTCATGGAATTTAGCAAACAAATCAAAGCTGGGAGAGGAACGAGACATCAGTAACAGCACCGGCTTGGTCTTCTAAATCATTATAAAGTATACCAGAGTTAACAGCATTTTGATTATCTGTAGATCTATGCCAGGCTTTACAGAGCTTAGATTCAGAGAATGCAGTGAAGTAAAATACATTTAGACAGATAGAAATGTTTTAGGAAAACAGAAAAAAAGATTCTCCTGCTGCTTATAAGTCTACTGCGTAAAAATGGCTGTAGAAAAAAACACCTGAAAAATCAAAAGAGGAGAAATTCTGGTCTACGGGTGAAATTGTATAAAACACTAATTCCTACATATTTACTACCCAAGCCTGTATTTGTCTTATTACTACCTTTAATGGACAATAAAGATCTCTGAAACAATCTGTGATACATCATTATCAGTGACTTCCAATTCAGTGACATACGTGCTCTAACTTTCACCATCCTAGCTGATACTGGAGCAATCCAGCAGGTACCTGTTGTTACAGCTGAAATCACTGGCCTAGTTGCTCTCCTAACAAGTGGCAAGGGCAACTACAGATTCATACTTGTTGCTTCTAAATCTCATTTAGATGACTACTTTACTGAGCAGACTTTTGCCCTAGTCAGCAGCACCACAGATCCAATACAGTTCAAGAACAATGAATATCTGTTATAGTTTACCCTGCGATGCAAAAACCTCCCTGCAAAGTAAAGTTCCTCTTCCAGAACTATTTCTCATCATAAATTAGCTTTGAGCATAGCTATATTTTCATCCTGCCTATGAGTTACACTAAAGCTTTTATTCTAAAGTAGCTTTGCAAGTTTTTGATAGAAAGTTTTTGCTGGGTAGTATCAGGTCTTAGCCAGTTTTCTCATTCTGACTGTAGCAATATTGAACATATATATGCTAAATATAGGTGAACCTTTCACCTACTGTAGCTGACAGGAACAGCTGGTGGGATATATGTCCGGATTCTAACACTGACTTACCTATAATGATGCATTCGCTGCTGCCAGCCATGAACATGGAGGCTGTTTTGGAAGGCAAGTTGAAGTGCCGAGCAGATAAGAAGGGAGAAAGGCGATCTGAGGGATCTGATGGGACGCTATTGGAGGAAAGGGTACTAGAAGCCTGCGTGGCACGATTTTCTGGCTCAGAAACAGTCATGGCTAGTTCTGGGTGTTTTATTATTACCCACTCGTAGCGTTCTACTTCTGGCTGTAGCTACATAAGTGAAGAGAAGAGTAAAAATTTAGTTAGTGAATATTCACTATGCTGAGAGCTCTGCATAGGAAGTGGCATTAAAGCCCCTCAGACTCCACCCACACTATTAGCAGTGCACTGTTAACAAATAAAGATTGGACCAAACTGTCTTTCAGGGTAGATTTTACTTCCTTCCCTTATCCCTTTGCCTTCTAGGCGGTTGAAGAAATGATGTAGTGGTTTCCGAGCTACCTTTCTTGTAAGAGAATGCCCCACCTCTCTGGATGAAAAAAGACTCACCTAGAATTGAAAAGGAAAAATTTCCCTCCAAATTAAGAGTTCAGCAGACTTTAAAACTAGAAGGGTATGTAATCCAGCTAAGTGGAAGGCAAGTGTGAGTTACTCGTATCGATAACAGTGGTTGTGTCTCAGTACTGGGGTAGTGACAGTCAAATTTTACTTACTCTAAACACAAAGCACTCCCCTGTCCCAAAGAAACTCAGCTTGTTCCCTCCTCGTCTGCGCTCACTCCAATCAGTTGACAGATAAGCACCGCAAACCTAGCACAAACAGCAAGGTCAGGAGGTTTTCCGTTGAAGAAGAAAGTGTGTTAAACCAATTGGTACCAACATTTCAGAGTCCAGAACAATTTCATTTAGTATGATTTTCAAAATCTCTAGATTGGTGGATTAAAGCAGCACAAGTACTTATATCTAAAGATAGATTTAAACGGCTTTAATCCACTGGGGAATACCCTTCAAATCCTAAGAGTTTCAAAAATTATTTTACATCTCTCAGGCCCAAAGGAGAATCAGCCCAACATAACCTCAGCTACCAAAATAAAAATCACTCCAAATTTGTAAAGCCTGACTTCCGCTTTCTCATTTTTGCATTCAAAACAACACTATTGTCACAAGCTACAATATCAGCACTCTTGGCTGAGAATTTTCTGCTAGCAAATGTTGGCCTTGGGCTCTCTCTCCAATTCAAACTGCAGATTAAAACTAACTTAGCTAAACCAATGCCCAGCTATTACAGGTATCGAAAGCAGCATATTCAGAACAGCATGTGGTTTAATGTGAACTGGTTTCCAATAAAGAAAAACAACATTAAAGCGTTGAGCTTTTCTGTGGGCTCCTTTGTTTGCAAGAGAATTATATCTCACTGCCAGCAATAAGTATCACTGTCAAGTGGAGACAGAGTAAGCAATATAGCTCTAAGAATAAGATCAAAGCAATCCTGCATTATTTTCAAAAAATATGATTAAAACAGGTTTTGCAGAATTCTTCTAAGATACATTTGCTGTGAAGTCTCTATCAGCATTGCAAGCAGAGCTCCTAGGACAAAAATTCCTAAGGACTGGTTTTGTTACGGAGAAAATAAGTGAAATGACATTTGATCTGATGTTTCCAAAAAAATCCAGAAGGTAACTTTTCTTTTTTTTCCCCTTAAAAACAAACATAACTTTTTTCCAGCTTTTTTTTTTTGAAGGGTAACTGCACTGTAAAAATCTAGTAGCACTTACAAAGCTAGACTTTGTGACATGCTCCAGGATAAGAAAAAAATAATGCCTTATATTTCCTTTAGATAATCATAGGCATTACATCAGCCACTGGCATGTCAATGAAGGCTTGGGACTGCCAATAACAGTACACAGAACTCTATGAAACTGTGCCCTAAGGGTGAGAGCATTGGGTAGAGAGAAGAAAGGTGCTTGCTTCATGGGGAGTCATCCTGCAGGAACATACGCAGAAATACAAGCTTATAGACTGCATTAATAGCTTAATGTTATACACAAAATATTTAGAAGTCATGCACAGTAGAGTGGAAAAACAGCTCTCATTAGATGAGGCACTTGTGTGCAGTCCATTTCAGGTTTTAGGAAGCCTATCTGCATTAAACGTTTTTTTAAATAACCATAAGGTGAAACTAATGCTTTAGTGTTCACATTATGGTGTACAATATTATTCACATCATTTAATGTCTGCTACTTTCTCTCCTCGTGTCCTGGAGGAAAATGAAAATATTTTCTATGGATCGTGAGCTGCTTTCCACAATTCCACAGCCTCTCTCCTCTGTTCCTGTGAGTAAGACAGTCTGTTCAAGAGCTCTGTGAGTGTTACTTCAGTCCATCATCTCACATTGCTTAAAAGAGGAAGAAAAACTGACCAAGACCTAGTCTGCAAGATTTACCTAAGAAAGTACAGTTCCATAATCAAACAGAATAATTTAAAGCATACATTATCTAAAAAAAAAAAAAAAAAGCAGCAATTTCCAGGTCCCTTACTTCTCCACTTTACTATAAACCATTGTGTATTGCAATACAGCATTACATAATTGCCTAAAACCTAATGTTATCAGTTACCTTTCACCTCACTCACCTCTTTTGCTGTAGTCTTGATGAGGAGAAGAGTGGGTTCATGTCCCTCACTGTGAGAATAGAACCTGTAATGTACAGTACAATTAAGTGAGCGCCCCACTACTATCATCACCTGCTTTTCCTGCGTTTCCCTCCTTAATACCAGGCACCACCTACTCCTTCAGTTGATGGCATGAAAAAAAAAAAATAAAACCACCCCCTCAAGACTGAGCATATTTCTGCAAGTGCCTTCAGCAGTCCATTGCAAACAACAGGAGTGACTGCAAAGAAAGATTGTTAAATAGTTCTTTCCTACTCAGTTCTCTGTACGTGCCTCTGCATAACGAACACAAGACCATCGATCACAACATTTGCCTTTTACAGCATTTTGCCTTAGACAGAATATAGGAAATTGTGGCCCATGGAGTGAAGGCTGCCTCTGAAGAGCCTTCTTTTTTCATAGAAAAGAAATACGATTCCTTCCCTTTGCTTGCTTTTGCTCTTTCTCACAGAGGCATGGGGCTGGGACAGCAGACAACCCCCCACCTCAGAAACAGAATTTCAGATACCAAAATCATTATTAGGAGCTATATGATTCCAATTGTTTGTCAAGTGCAAGGAAAATCCATGTCTACTTTATCCCATTTTAATAATCACCATGATCAGATTCATAGTGAGAGGGAAACTGCAGAGGAATCTCCAACTTCCAGTTCCCTTATGCTTCAGATAGCCACATTCAAACTCATCCATCAAGAGAGTCTACAGTGCAGCCATTGAGTTAAGCCATTCATAATAAACAAGGAACAAATGAGTCTCACACCAGTGGTATATTCTGTGTATTGATGCAAGTTCGATTTTTCCAGTAGGTTTTGGATAGTTTAAAATGGCTTTTCCCATTGTGGCATATGAAGTATCCTAGTTAAATGCTGAAGCTGTTAAGAATGTCACATTTGCATTCCATCACTATCTTTCAGATTACTTCATGCACGGCTTCTACGTTAATCCAGTAAGCAGTTCATCAGTTGCTCTTTTTTATCCTACAATAAAGAGGTGCAGGGAAAGTTGTAATTACCTGCTTAGGCTACACCCATGTTCTAGGGTTGTGAAAAGCAAGAGTGGCTGGCAAAGTGCAAAGCGTTCTGGGATCCAGGACCAGATATCTCGCATCTCTTTCACACTGACAATTTCAGACTTGAAGTTCTCAGCATGAACTGCTAAGTGCACGTTCTGCCTGAGAAATACAACACAAAACATTGAGAAACAATAGCTTAACAGAAACTACAAAAAGAACGGTTTCTGGTTACTGGGTAGTAACATGCAAAGAGAGTCCTGAACACCAAAAAAACCTCAGTACGTGTGCCATTCCTAAAATGGCATTAGAAGGCCATTACTTAGTGAAGAAAATAAACTATTGGAGTCAAACAGAATCCTTGAGAGTTAGTGGCTTTACTGAAAAAGCTGGAGCGATACCTCAGTATGGCAACAGTAGCCTGTGCTTGCATACATAGAGGACATAATGGTAAACCAGCTAGGATGACCATGGCCTTGAATAGATCAAATTTATCTTTGCCATTTGAGACAAGTCTCACTGGTGACTGTATTCAAGCACAGACAACAGAAAGGATCTGAACCGATGGTAAACCAGCTAGGATGACCATGGCCTTGAATAGATCAAATTTATCTTTGCCATTTGAGACAAGTCTCACTGGTGACTGTATTCAAGCACAGACAACAGAAAGGATCTAAACCGCTCCCTGCCAAGGTCCTGCCTCAGCAATCTTACAGGAATCAGAATATTACCACGTTATGCAATTTTATTCCAAGCCACATACCTGAAGCTTTTGGAAAGTTCCAGCTCTTGGAATCATGTCATTACCGATGATCCCTACTTTCATTAAGAACCAAAGAAATTTCTAGCCTCACGGTTACAGACAAAACTTGAAAACATGAACTAAGAGAACGCTAGAGAGTCCATACTGGAAAGCAACCCCCGCCACCCCGGGTTTGATACAGCGAGGAGAAGTGATTCATAACTCTTAAACTCTTGAAGGCGATAATGTTACGATGAAAACATCTTAACCAGTGTTCATTTCTCAGATTAAATAAACACATAAACTCAACGCCTGGAGATTAAACAAGTGTTATTGCACCCATGACTGATGTTAAAGCCTTTTAAAATGCAAGTGTTATAGCCAAGTACGTGGTGGAAATGCAGTATGAACTTATACAAGATATGAAGTTACTGAGTAGCAGTTAGTTGAGCCAGCCTTTGGATAGTCTGCTTTGCATGCCATACAAGGGCTCAGTTTATGGAAGAGATGCAACTATTTGCTGAGTTACTATTTTTCTGACAGATCTGCATTTCTTTCCTCTCAGCTTCATGGAACATAAAGACCACCTCAATACTGTGTATCTGTATACATCAGAATAGCTTAGCTTGCTCCCTAAAACACTCAATACTAAATATTTTTAAAATGTTCTTGCTTATATTATCAAGAAATCATCAGCATTTGCACTGTTCTTTAAAGTAGTGCTTGCTAGGAGAAATTGGGAAACACTTCTGAAATTTATCATAGGTGCCTTAGTATCAGCATCTCTAATGGGGTGACTCCTTAAGTCACTCAAAAAATAAAATGACTCTGCTTCCTCCAGTAATATGTACAAACTCACTAATTGCATTGCTGCCCTGAATTCTTTACTTAGCAAGGAACCTATATGGACATGTAACATTTTAGCAGGCTACAAGTATTAAAGTGTCGTAAAACTTACAATATCACTGTTACAATATCATCATTATTGATGCTATTTTAAACAGGAAACTGAGGTACAGGGGAGATCAACTGGTCTGAAAAAATCTTGACTTGAACCCACATCTCTGGAATCTTACTCTAGGGCTCAGCCCTTCCTATCTTACCTGGTCCGCAGCTAAAGACTGGTAGCACTATGGAAGAGACCTGAGAAACAAGTCATTGTTTTAAGTTCATTAGAAATTAGATTTGTCTCACATTCGAGGAATTAAAAACATCCAAGACTTTCAACTAGTTTATTACAGTGGATTTCTGAAGGAAAAAAAGGGGTAGATAAGCTAAAATTTTTTAACAAATATTATTAAAATAGCTTTAAACATACTTGCTAAACCTCAAACAAAAAAGTCTCAGGCTCATCATTTGCATGTTATGTCAGTACTTTTTTCCTCACTTACACAGATTCAAGTACTAAATTTTAGTACTTGCTCCCAAAAGGCTCTCAACTTCAGCGTACCTTTCTTTTGTCTCTGTTCCTCCTCTTGGCTCCCATAAACTGCTGTAGTAAGGACTCTTTCCTAACAAAACCTTACTCTAACCTTGTGTTTCATCAGCATTCCTATTAAACTTCACTTCTAGCACCCTGGGCCTTCCTACAACTTTTACATGTCGGTAGATTGTCATCTTTACAAATAGATCTTTCTGGTTTACTAAAAAGCACTTAGCCGCATACCGGCCATTTAAAAGGAAAACTACTCAAGGCATGACATTGTCTCTTGAAAAATCATTGTGAAGCATGTTATATTTAATGTCACAATTCTGTCAGTAAAACCTAGACTCTAGCTTGACTGGGCGATTTGAAATAAAACGATCTGCTATTTCCAGTCATAAATTACAGCTGTAGGTGTTTAAGACTGAAATGTGATCTTGTGTTGAAATCAGTGTCAACAGCCAGCCAGCACCTACATCAGTCCCCTCAAATCCAAACTCCAAGCTTCTTAACAAAAATCAAAGTTTTTGCTGTTTTCAGGAATTTGTAAGTAGAGTTACAAGTAACTAACTTATACTCATCCTCTCATTTTTGGCTTTATTTCTTTTAGGATACTGAAAGCCATCTACTTCAGTGGGACGACTGATTTTCAAAGTAGTAAATGAGTGGTAGTGAACAGCACACAAACTGAGTAAGTAAAAGAGCTTTTGGTTGCTAGAAATGAAGGTTAGCCTTCATCACTACCAGAAGTCTTTCAGGGTAATCTCATAAAAAGCAGCAGTTTGAAAGACTACTGAATTCGGATTAACACTGCGTTACAACATCCACTGAGCAAAACTGTCACTAGAATTGAGTAAATTTAATTAAGATTTTATCCTCCATTAGGATTTTCTTAATCCTTCATGTTAGCTTACTGGGATCTGCATTACAGTTTTCTATTGATTGCTGATGTTGAAAACACATGTCCAATTGTTTTTACCCTGAAGGGAAATCTTTATTACTGTATTAGAAAGTAGCACAATTTAAATGTTTAACAACAGCTTATGGGTTATTTTAGTAGGAATATTGTTTTACAGATATATCATTAATACAAAGTGCTTTGGAGACCCCAAAGATCCTGACGATAAAATCAGGTAACTTTGACATATGGTAGCAGCTGTCACAGTGGATGGCTTTATACGTGTTACAAGACAGTTAACAAATACTACACTTAAACACTAAACTCTAAATTACTTCTTTTTGCTTACCTTTGTTTTGGATCAATTCTTACAGGCTCTGCATAAGCTTTACAATCCAATATAATTTGAGTTAGGACAAAAAGATATGGTAGAAGTCACATTTTGTCAGTTATAAATTACAGCTGTAGGTGTTTAAGCCTGAAACCTGATTTAGTGCTAAGACCAGTGTAAAGAGACACCCTGCATCTACATCAGTCCCCTCAAACGCAAACTCTGTGCTACTTAATATAATTCAAGGCTTTCTGCTGCTTTCAGAATCTTGTAACAAGGGTATAGTAATACATGGACTTTGAAGGTTTGACTGGCTGGAATTAATAGCCAGATAATTTATTGGAGGTAAAATCCTCAACATGCTGAATATGATATAAAATATATTTTGGTAAGTTGCTTCTTAAGGAGTTCTTTTGCACATTAAAACATGAAAAAATTAATTCAAAATTTGATTTGTATAAGTTAGTACAATTGTTAGTGTGCATCTCTCACTGAAGTTAACTCAGGGCACCTGCAACAAAACCAGAAGATTGTCTCAAAGGCATTGGAATTTAAATTCACACAGCTGTGCTAACAAACACTCACAGGCCAGTGTTGTTTCTTCTTTCTAGGTTCTCTGCTTATCAAGTATCACAGTCCAACTGATTTTTGTTCTTTAAAATTTGCTTTTCAGACTAAGACTTGATGAACGACTCAATTAACCATTAATGCTATATAGCTGAGTAACTCTGATCTTTGCTATATAGCAGAAAAAAGTCTGTCCTCTTTCCTCTTAAAAACCCTATATGGGTAAATATAAATGTAATCTCGTATAGAGGCAAGTCATTTTTAGAAGTGTTCCAAATAGTTTTCAGTCCAACATCTTTTCAAATAAATGCAAAAAGTGTGCACAAGAAAAAACTGAGCATGTTTGTTACATCCATTGCAACAGCCTATATCAGGTCTGGATGTGAGCTAACACCCCATAGTTCTGAGGACTTCACATGTTACTTGAGATATTGCCAAAAAAAAAAAAAAAAAAGCTTTTTCTTCCAGTGTACAGATGACTTAAATCCCATCACTAACATTAAACTTTTCTATTCTGGAAAAAATAGGCCTGTATTGTTGTATGAAAGTGCCATGCTGACTAGCTGGGCCCATCCATGAATCCTTATCTTACAACTTTGCAGGTGCTTTGAATTACCATTGCGAGAATGCATTCAGGAGTTACACAGCAACTGGATGCTGCAATTGCTGTCCTGCTTCTGTTGCCCCAGCATTAGAAATAATGACAGCCTTGGAAAAAATAACTAGCCAAGCAAAGACAGCAGTTAAAAAAAAAAAAAAGGCAAGAAAAAAAAAGCAAAAGTGCAAAGATTTAAGTGTTTTAACCTACCTTTTAGGAGATGTAACACTGCAAACAGGAGGGGTGCAGTGGGTTTGGAATTGACAGAAGGAGAACGTATAAAGAGAAAGACAAAAAAAAGACAGGAAAAGATCAGTGATTTCCTACATCCGCAACAAAGTGAATGAGAGGAGCCTAGAGAGAAACAGAGTAAGGTTTGATTTGAATCACCAAGAAAGAGGGGAAGGGGGGAAAAAAAAAAGATAGGTTAAAATATTCCCTCCTTTAAACATCTATTCTTCTCCTTCTTGCTACCTGTCAGAAGTATCTGGGAAATTATTCATCTTGTTCCCCAGGCCAAACACATACGGACAATGGAATTCACTTTCTGTTCAGCATTAGAGAAAGCTCACTTCTGAGGTAGTCACTGTTGCCTACAGCAGGATCCAAATCCAGCCTATTTTGCAGCTGCATCTTGCCAGGGGATTATTACAAGTTTTAGTATGCTTACATAAGTAGCCAAGAGACAATAAAAGCTATTCATTAGCAATTCTGCCTGTTGTGGCAGTATCTATCGGCATTACTGGGGTATAAACTTACTACGTTTTGCTTTCAAGGCACCCCTGTTGTTCTGAGCAAAGAATACCTCTATAACATTTCAATGCAGCAGCAACTTCTGCTTTTTAAAATCTTAATTCTGTTGCTGAAGAACGTACTGTGAAGGGACTTTACGACTCTTCTAAACCTCAAGACAGGAAGGAAAGACGTACCTAGATTGTGAGAGTTGAAACTTCTTGTTTTGTGTCTCGAATGCAATGGTCTGGAGTCTATCTAACATGATATTCCAGTGGCTCAAGGCCTTGAACTATTTAAGGCTGACAAAGCTGTGTCTTCCAAGAGGTCCAAAAGAACAAGCAGGGTAAAATAGAAGAAAATCAAACTAAACTGTGATTCCAAAAACAGCTAGAAATGATCAAGAACTTCGTGGAGAATATTGTACCTGTGTAAGTTTCAGCTAACATTTATGTTACTTTATAGGTCAAATTATGACAAGTTTATATGTCAAAACCATGGTACAATGAAACTACTGTGACTAACCCAGCAACATAATTGGCTGTGAGGTCCTAATGCATCATTGGCTGGTACCTTTTGATTTTTTACAAACGTAGAGAAAAAAACCTGTCCCTCGATATTACCAAGTACCAGATATCACACTTACTGACCCCAGCTGACTTCTAGAAGTTATCCTCCTTTCAGAGGCCAGGACAACCAGTAAAACATCTGAACGTTCCAAAATGATTTCAAAAATGATTAGGAGAAGTTTTCTGTTGTTACAGAAGGCTTCAAGAGAAATAAAATGTTGTGACAACAATTCCAGTATTTAACCGCATGTACATTTGGACTTTGCACGATACTTATCTTTAGATTAATATATTGCTGCCTTTTCTGTATAAATGGGGAAAGCTCTTAGCCAAGCTTTATTATTATGAATTTTACTACCACACTGGAGCAGAATTGTCACGTAACTAGTTTCATGGGCTTTTCCTCCCCCCACCTAAAAAGAAATCATGATTATGCAATCATCTTTTGGGTCAGCATCCCTCAGAATCCCCACTCCTCTTTTTCATGGTTTTTCCAAAATCATTATTTGTAATAGTATATGTACCTGTCTGTCACAAAATAGACTAACTCCTATCTACAATTATTACTGATTTTTGGGAGGCTTTCATTCAAACTACTTTTAAAAGTAACCTGTAAATAAGATTTGCTTATTTCTTCCTTACTCTACTAAAATTACTCCTGAATTAAGTTTTCACTCCAAGACATTGGCTGCCTACTTACAGTAAAGAAATTGCTAAATTTACAATATTGGACAGCATGAAATTTATACAAGTAGTCTCTTATTTAAGAATTATTTTTCATATTTGTTTAGGTATTTTTCTTCCAAGTTATCAGTGTTCTTCCAGTTTTGCTAAAATGCCTTCTAGCTTAAGAACAGCTTGTGAAAGACACTTTTGTGACACAATTCTTGCAATGAACAGGTACCTGTAAAAGGTAGTTACAAATTCATCATCAAGTAAGCTATGAGATACTGCTTCATTTATCTTGTGTCATAACACTTAGGTTGTACTTCTAGCTACAATCTCAGCAACACTTAATTTTGGGGCTGCTGACTTTTTCTAATCAAGTCCACAGAGCAAAAGAATCAGAGGAGATACCAGCGTGCACCAGTAGAACTCTTCCCCTTCCCCACCAATCACTCAGAATTGAGTGAGCGCTCACTCAATCACAACGAGAAAACTCATGATCTCATTTTGTTGGGGATCACTCAAAAAGACTACCTGTAGCATTTGGGAAAGCCCTACCTTTTCTGCTTGACTGTGATGCCCTTCTGCTGTAAAGCCTTCTCATTGGCCATCTGCAGGAGCTGGATCTCTTTCCGCGAGAAAAGTCGGATAGCAAAAGCTTTTTCCAAAAGCCTCTCCGGGGACACTGATTTGGCAATGTCCCTCACAAAAGATCGAATATCCTGCTGTATGCTGTCAGACTCCATGGGCTGCCCAGCTCTGACTTTGTGAAAGAATTTCAGAAGAGCCAGTGCAACACGATAGAGAACCTTGTAGCCCTCCACCAGAAACACGTCAAAGACCCGAGCAATGTATACCATGGGCAGCTCTCCAAAAAGCCAGCGTTGCCAGTCAGAGTATACCTCCAACACATCCTCAGACACTGCCACCATCAGCTTATGTGCTGCCTGACAGTACTTGTTAACTAGGTCACCAAAGGTCATGCAGGAGGACTCAAAAGCTAAGAATGTCTGATCAATGAGCCGCTTAGATGGATCATTGCAAGCAAGGATGCGACAAACCTTTTCAAAGCACTCTGCCTCATCTTTGCTGTAGTGGAGGAGCAAAGCTGTGACAGAAGGCAGCGCTGGACAAAATGATATGTCTGGGAACTGATTTGCAATGCACAGTATTATCTTCCTGACTGCCCCAATGCCTTCTGCATTCAAGCAGTACGTGGGAACCAGGCTGTTATCCACAAATTCTGGCAGTGGAAGGGAGCCACTGTTACGTTTTCCAATGATCTTCACAACAATGTCCCGGTACACGTTTGCATCTGGAGTCACTGTGCGGCATGGAATATTGTTAATTAATTTGTGGTACACTTTGGCTCTCAAAGAGTGGTTCTTGGCCCAGTAGCCCTGCCGGGCCAGCTGTTTGAGCTCCTGGAATTCGGTACAGGTTAGCTCCTTTGGATCTTGGTTTTGGACAGTAACATCCATTTTCTCCCAATCCACAAAGCGGTTGTATTCATCCATGGTGCCAGGAAAAACATATGAGAAAAATCATGAGAATGGAGACCTTATCTGGTCATTAAATGACTCACAGCTTCTCCTGCAAGAAGGAAAGAAAGAAAAAAATAATCAGAGACTTGAATAACAGATCATCTCCTATTTACTTTAGACACACACATTCAGCTTGTTCCTGCACTGTCAAGACTGTTTTCGAATGCAAAAAAAGTTAGAGGCATGCCTTAAAAAAAAAAAAAAACACAACAACCACCAAAACTTTATTTCCATTTTCATTATATACTTGTCAATAACTCCTACTGAAGTAGTTTACCAATGGCCAACCCAGATGCAGATCCTGTGGACACCTCAACATGAAGTGAATTTCCCTCATGCGGCCAAACGGTCACAGAGATTAGTTCGCTGATCCGGTACAATTTTTCTTTTCTGCTGGATCAGCGAGATGTACAGATCAATGCTAGTGCCAGCACAAAGACTACAAGGCAGAACCACCCTTTCTGAAGGCAGTGCAGGGTTAGATTAGCTTAAAATAACCTTATGAAACTGCCTCCTAATTCTCTCACATACTGCATTAGACTTCTGGTTCTGAGTTTGCATGCAGGTCTATGACCAAATCATCCTCTAGAGGGCCTACTATCATCAACATTGGAAGATGAAGGACCAGGTCCTAGCCTCTTAATTCCTTAAATGACATGTTTACACAACTTATCAGCTGATCCAGTTTAAAAGTCCATCTGTGTCCTAGCTGACACAGCATGACTGCAACACTGGTGCCCATACTTCGATTAGTTTTACTCAAGTCAGTGCAAAACTAGAAGGGGACAAACAACAGGTTTGCCCAGTGCTGCAACCTCTATCAATGTATTCTCAGTGCTAGGTTAAAGGTAGGAGCGCACGCCTACTGATTCTGCAGACTCTGCAAAGGTAACAATCCCTATGAAATGCAACAGCCCTATCAAGCTGTTTTGTCCAATTAAGATGTTATATAGGACGGTTAAAGTAACAGAAACAATTACTGAAATGTTTCCAAAAAACTTCAGTTGTCACTGTGTCAACAGGTAAGTGTCAAGGTTCCATGCATCACCTTATAGGAACGCTACTTTTTACAACAGGTGCATCAACATGATTTGCAACTCATAAGGTAGATACATCGTCAAAGTGCACGACTCTTTCTCCCTACTTTGCTACTGGTATAATAAAACAAACATTTTCCTCAGGTAGGCAGAAGTCCATAAACATATAGTTAGTATTAGCTTGGACAGCAATACATTTAATCTAGATAGTTTTAGATGCTGGCTAGATATTAATCTGGGTATTTTGGAACCATAACTTGAAATTTTAAAATTTAACTCTTCTTTTAAAAGCCTGGCAGCAACACAGAGGTGCCTTTCAGGCTTTAAGACAGGTCTTCCCTTCTAAACATTTCACATTTTTGTATTGACAAGATGCTTTTTGGGTTGTCTTTGTAAAATGTAAGAGCAAAAGAGAAACGGTCAACATTTGTTTTTGTTACATCCTTCAATGTCTGAAACTAATTCTCAGCCTGTAATTGAAGAAGGCAACATGCTTTCCTCACTTCAATTGTGAAAGCAGGATTTCTTATGACATTTGGAAAGGATGCCTCTCAGTTTGGACTAAGAGCATGCCCTCAGGATATGCAGAGACAATCATGGTAGGATACCAGTCAATTGTAGAATCTTGGAACTTGGAAGTTAACATTTTTCTGTCATTTTCCACCTGGGAATCACAGGGAAAATCATCATCTTTAGCTGAAATCATGGAATATCATTGCAGAGAAAAGAAATTTAATCCTATTTGGCAGTGACCAAAGCACAGAAGGATGATGCATTCTGTCCACGGTCACTTTAGCAAAGAAGCTATTACTATTCCATATTTGCTGGAGTCTCCACTCTGCAACAGCTTCCTCCTTCTGCCATTATCCATTGGAAGCTGTTTATGTTAGAGAAGGTTAAGTAAAATCCCCATCATATGAAACAACTTATAGGATGTTCAGAGTTGCATTTTGGCTGTATTTTTTTCTGTAACCTTTCTTCTCTCTCCTCCATACTCTTTGCTTTCTAATTTTGTAATTTTAATTCTCATTCAGAATCAGAGGCATATTGAGAGGTTTGAGTTATCTTTCCCTCTGAAAGTTACTAAACATTCTAAAAACTAATGAATAAGGTGAGTTTATGTTCCTCAGCCAGCTTACGAAAGTCAATGACTAGGGGAAGGAAATCAGACTGCAAGAATTTTGGATTAGAGTGTACAGTCTTATATACACTTTGGCTTGGAAAATCTGCTGGGTGCACAGGTGGGTCTGGTCGCTTATGCTATTCAGTGCTCTAGGTGCTACAAGAATAGATGACAGCAAACCAAGAGGAATTGCCAAGGTTGCCCGAGCATGACCAGTTCTCAAATGTACCTGCAAAACCAACAGAATTAGCGTGCTTCAGCGTAATGATGCATAACCACTGATTCTGGGCCAAACAGCTACTCTAAGCCAGCAGTTCTCAAACTGGAAGTATTTACTTGCCAGAGGAGAAGACCCTAAGAAACTTCAGGAAAATCCCAGCTAGCCATTGTCTCCTGCTGCCACTTCCTTATCGTTCTCCACTCCTCCTTCCATGAAAGTTCTCTTCTGGCAATCATGTAAAGAGTAACATTTACTTTGAGCTGATGGGGACAGGAGAAGAAGGGCAACAAAGACTTTCTCAGATTCAGTAGCAAATGGCTAACTGGTCAGGGACTGTCTCCCACCCATCTCTCCTATCGTAGGGGAGTAAGCAGGCAGTACTTATTGTTATGTCTGGAGGGACTGGAGGTTGGCATGCCAGTTAAGGAGTAAAGATAGAGACGGATGGCTGCATGAGGGTTCACGTTTGTCAGAAACTCCCACCCTCATCTAGACTACCTGGCTTTCCCATATGAAAAAAGGGGACAAAACACAGCCAGAAGAGAAAAAAAAACATTTCAGAACAAACTGTTTGCACAAAGATATGGTTAAGGAGAGGCACGGAGACGCATTTCTACCTCCTCATTGCAACAAGTCTCCTTCCCTAGAATCATCAATTTCACCCATAAGTACTAAGTGGCAAGTAACCTCTTACCAGATCTGGGGATAACAGGATGGATCAGTGTCTGAATTATATAGAATTGGAATGCTTTCAAGTACCTGTGAGGACAGAACTATAAAGGGACTGTAAAAGTTAAAAACAAAATAAACCCACACCCTCACAACAGTGACAAGGACTGGAAGCTATATATACACACCTTCTTGTGGTTATTTTCCTTTCTAATCAGAAACTGACTTCTACAAAACATTAAGAATAAACATAGAACAAAAGAACAACAACAACAAAAAAAACTTATTCTCCCAGTTAACAACTGCCTAAGAAATTTGAGATTGTTAGATCTATTAGCCTACAACCTAAAAGCTGGAAGCTCCATGAAGCGCAACATTAAAAAAAAGTGAGAATTAGAACTACAAAATATATTGAATACGCCAAAACTAGCTGAAGAATGGCATCAGATTTTTCAAGGTTAAGTTTAAACTATGAAGCAAGCAAATAATCATTAAAATGGACAATGACCATGGCAACTGACACTGGCATGTTTTCAAGTCAGTGACTAAAATTGCTCAGGAAATAGCTTGCTAGTCTGGCCATATTTTCCATTCCAGTCTCTGTAGTTCTTTCCACTGTAATTTGGGCTACTTTCAGAAGATGTCCGAGAACTGTGCTGAATCTGCGCAAAACATACAGCAGTGAAGTAAAGTATGACAGTCAGAAGTCAGATACTGCCTATGAAGAAAAAAAACTTGAAAGTGTCCAAAAATACATCAGAGAGAGACAGAGAGAGAGATATTTCAATCATAACTTGGCTTCATTAAAGAAAATAAGTTTACAATTTTACTAAAATTAACAAAGTTTGGGATAACCTCAGTAATTTTCAGTAAAAAAAACTAGTAAGTTTTGAAATTTGCCTTTCAACATTTCAATCAAAAAATAATCAAATTTTCTTACAATTCATTAAGACAATCTGTTTTTGCTTTCCAAAAATCCAGGGATTATCAAATTGAAACATCTGGGTTATAAACTATTTCAGAGTATAATTATTTCTTTTAAATCCAGAGAACACACATCCACAGTAGTGAAATAATTACATTATAAACTTTTCAAAAATAGATTCAAATTTTGACTAAAGCCTGAGAAGATTATGTGATTTGATATTGTTTTAATAAACATAGAACAGTGCCCTAAAAACCCAAAATATGGATAGTCATGATAAACTTGTTCCCCTTTCAAGTATCCTTGCAACTACCTTTTGAAAGTCTGACAACAGGTTAATAGCTTATTAAGATATTTTACTTGCATCCAATATACCTGCTATATAACAAGAAACCTAAATGTTGAAATTAACATTTTTCATCCTAACCAAGAAAAGTAGCTTTTTAGAAGGACTGCTCTTCAAACATCTTCCATTCACCTATTTGCTATATACCGTAGAAATACAGGTAGACACTGACTACTGAACTTTTGGTATGCATTTTTATAGTGTGCTAACAAAAAGCAAATGTTTTCTTTTGCTGCCCTACAAATAAAGACTATTACTAACCTCCTAGAGCTGCAACATACCTTCTGCTGTTTACATCAGTGAGCAAGATGTAGCAAGAAAAAAGGTTCAAGTCCACTTTCTTTTATAACCTGGTTAAACTCATTTCTGCTGAAGGCACATGTACACACATGTGCACATATCATCAAAATTGTGTCCTCAAAGATTACTGGCTATTAGTCCTCACCCCAACAAAAGAAAATTAAACCCAAAACACTGAGTAGACTATTTCACATCCTTGGAGAATACTAAGTCATGTCCGAGATGTCTGCTATATAGATCTGGAAATAACATTTTACAGCAGTGTTCCCCTCCCCCCACTACAAACCAGGAACATACTTTATTGTATTTACAGCTTCAGTTACTACCTGTGATGCAATTGCTTTAGGAAGATTGCACCAGAGTTAAAATTAAGCACACTATTTAGCAGTAAAACCAGCTGAATGCAACTAGCACATCTTGTGCAGGGGAGCAACCTCGATGATGTTGACATATTTTAGAGCAATGATCCTTCTCAGTAGAGTACACAAGAGTTCGATGGATTGCCTTAATGAGGTTAAATGCAGTTCGATTGCTTTATAAATTGCCCCAGGCACTGTATATAGCAAAAGCCGGACTCCAAGCCAGCTTCAGGAATACAACTCTGGATAATGTTCTAATACTTGTTTAGGGGACTAACTATTTGTTTCCCACACTGTTTTTCGACATTCCTTTAGGACAAAATCTAAAAAGCTATTGAACCAAAATAAGTATTCACCTCTCATTTCTGTGAGCAACAGATAAAGACTGACACAGGGCAAACCATTTCAAGTGTTTAGATGATTTCTCTTGGGATGTCATAGTTCCATATGAAGGATAGTGACAGAAAAATTGCCTTAGAATCCTGTGTTTATATTCTCAGAAATGTACCGTTGTCTTCTTAAATCTGGTCTTTTAATTAACTGTGATAAATCTATCATGTAATTAATTATAGTCAACAGTTCAGAAAAATAATGAGCTACTCTTCAGGGGTGTGATAACTGACAGGAACTTATACTTAGGAGAACATGTATGCCTCATATCTGCAAACACTTCAATAGAAAGCAGCATTCCCTCATTCCCATTACCTGTTCTGAGCTGACACAAGCACTTCTATAGCTGATAAGTGTTGATATGATGACCACGGAATGATACTGCAGAAATAATTTAAAAAAAAAAAAAATCAGGATAACGGCCTGAAAAAAAAAATCTCTTGTGGGGAAAAAAATGAAAAAAATTGTTATTATAAAAGGGGAGAAAGAAGACTGAAGAGAGAAACACTGCAAGAAAATACAGAACAATAAATATTATCAAAGGTATAGATCAGGAGCTTCTGTCCTGCCTGTGTCATAAGAAAAAGAAGGAATAATGAATAAAATTAAACAGTGAGAATTTCATTTTTCTTTTTAAAGGAAATTGTGCTTCAGTAACAAATTTATTTTACATGTTGCATTAAAAAAAAAACAATAGCTGCTATAACTAGAATTAAAGACTACAACAGCATAATTTTCCCATATTCAATTTCTTGGCCAAGATGCAAGAATTAACACCTGCAATCCTGCCCAATAAATGCCAATGAGCTAGGCGGACACTGCCATAATTTCAGTATCTACTAATGGCAGGCATACATGGTGATGAGCAATGAATTTCAGAACCAAAGCTGTGCCATTCCAAAACGCACGTCTAATGACAAAGTTCAACCGCTGAACAGGTGGAAGTTTATGCTCGAACGCAGAGAAAAACACAGCACCGAGGATGCCAATTCATTTTCTTCTTGACCGTTTAGAAATATTTTATCTGAATTGGTTGAAGAGAACAACAGTGAAAGTGGGAAAGTTAAGTCTTCCTGCTTCAAAAATGGAATGCAAGAGTAGCAGATGTTCATATTCTACGCTCGGCCAATTTTATAAATGAGCCAAATAAGTTGGGCTCAGGAGTTGTAACAATCTTTGTTCAGATTTCCTGTTAAGTTGAAATATAAGAGATGCCAAGCCCATATTTTATAAAGTTTCTTTTATAATATTTACAATATTTAAACATAGACTGAAAGATGGAAAATACTTAAGTGGTCTGGTCCATCCCTTCTCCAAACATCTCATTCCATTCAGAACAACTGCTGCAGTATTTTCCACCTAGTTTTAAGGCTCTAGAATGATAATTCATAATTTTCTTTTGGGAAATTTCTAAAAATAGAACAGTTGAATCAATACATTCTTCCTACTATATTGATTGTATTTTCCCTGATTTCTTGCAAGCTATAAGAATGAAAAATTCTCTCACACTGTGCTCTTCCCTTCCTTTTGAAAACTGTAGTAACCAGACACAGAAGTTTCCAATGGCAAACTCTGGCTCGGGTAAAAATTTAACACTGAATACGTAATCTTCAGCTTTCTTTTCCTTCCTCCTTCCCCCCCTCCCTCAAAAAAAATCTCAGTTTATATTTGTCCAAATTTGTTAGTGTAGTCTTATATACAGCCAAAGGCACATATATAACTGCTTATGGAAAGCTCTACAATATGACAGCAAATCCATAAGCAACAAAATAAGTCTTTTTTCTTTTCTGTTGCATTAAAAGTTAACTGTCAATTTGATGTCCATAAGCTCTAGGTCTTTACCAATAATAAAGATTTAATGACAGAAAAACGCCTTTAAAAATCTATGCTTTGAAATGTTCTCACATTAGACATAATGGGAGACATTACATTTGTCTATACATTAGACTACATTCGTCTATATTGAATAGAGATTTATTTCTCTTCCTCCTATCCAAACTTTCACTGCAGAAGTTCATGTAATCATGCTTTATTTCTTGCTTGTTTAGAGTTTCACTAGGTCCAAAACAGCAGCTGACAGCATTACTGGAAACACATATGGATTTTACAACTAGAAGATACAGTCTCAGATCCTAGAAAAGGTCATGCCTAAGCTATTAAAAGGGACACTTGACAAGAAGTATTTCACAGACAATGACAACGTTTATAGCTCTTTTAGTATGAGAAAACCATCACCCTGTTTGGTTTTTTTTTTAAAGTACATGTACCTTCTAGACCTGTTTCTCCCACTGTCTGACCAGTTTCAAGTGTGTGATTAGCCCACTTTAATAGTCTTTGTGAGTGAGTATCACAACAGCATGACCAGGAATTTCCCCTACAAAACATTCAGTTTCTATTCTGGGCCAGTCGTGCAACCACAAGTTAATGACCCAAACTACAGTGGGTGCAGATCCCAAAATGAATGTTATGCCAGCCTGACTGCAACACCATAACCAGGTCCACAGCTAACGGGAGTCCCTCCCCTGTCATTGGACTCCACATTGGTTAGTATCACACTGACAGAGGAATATTCAATCTGCTCTATGGAGATGAACGCATCTTTTTGCAAAGTTCCATGTACTTTCTTTCAGACTACTTGAAAAATCTGCCAGTCATGATCCATACCATACTGTAACTGGGTTCTTTCCTTTATCATCCTCCTATTCCATAAAAGCATATCTTTTTCCCCTGTAGAATTTAGCCATACGTTCACCAAGCTGGCCATGTAGGATTAGGAGTCTTGTCTGCGGGCTACAGGGAAGTCTTTGTTGCTCAAATGATGTGCAAGCAAAATTAGCTCATCATAGTCTCAACTTCCACTGTCAATACAAATATATGTGAACATATATCATTTTTTAAAACTAGTGGTTAAATTCAGATTCTTCACAATGTTCATATGCCTCAAAAGAGTGTCCACACTGATGAACTTTGCACATTCTCTCCTCTAATAGTTTCAAAATATGGACTGTGCCATTCAAAGTCTGTTAAGGAAACAGGCCAAAGCCCCAATTCCTGATGTCATCAAAACTTATGTGGTTTTGTCTTTTTACAAAAAGTAATCAAAATGGTACAAACAGTGTAGCGACTTGAGTCAATTTAATTCTTCTGTTAATTTAACTGATAGGGCATGTTTAATTTAAAACCTACCAGTGCAATATATGGATATAGAAAGCCTTAATCTGGCAGTCCCACAGTGCTTAAGGGATGGTTAAATTAGATAACGGGCAGATGAAGCAGTAACCCTGGGATAATCTAGCACACACATTCTTACTCTGTCAGCAAGTCTATGGAAATTCCCTGTGTGCGTTCCTTGCCTTTGTAGTAAACAAATGGAAAGGTTCCTTGCATTCATACCAGCAGTTATCACTAATGATCCTGTTTATTCCAGGGTAAACTTTTGTGTCCCCACAATTTCAGTGGGAGCTGAAAAAGGAGAAGCAGGAAAATTTTATCATCTCAGACTATTTCATTATTCCCTGCATCGAGTGCTAAAGGTCTAGAGGTTTTTCTTTGGAAAACAAAAACCGATTTACAGTTACATGAACATATGAAAGTGAGAAATTAAAGCTGTCATTTTATAAACAAATTTATTTTCTTCCATCTCAGTAAAACCCTGTAGATTTTCACCCTTTTCCCAAGATTGCTCAGAAAAGTTTCAATAATCTGCTATTCCTAACAAGAGGGAACCCTTCTCCGGAAAAAAAGAAAAGGTGAATTATCCTGCACGTGGGAGAAGGCTCAGATATTAACTTCAAGCACATCCATGCACACCTTACAATTAAAGGAGGATCTAATCTCAGGAAAAATGCTAGCAACTGCATTTCAGAGATAGTGAAAATTATATTGCTTCATTTTGATACCTATTTCTGTAGCCTTTCTAAAGTTATGCCCTCCTAAAAGGCAAGGAGCGACAATGAACAATAAGGTAAATAAAACGAACATGAACATTCTACAAGGAGTGTTTCACTGAGAAATCCATAATCAAAAATACCTATTTCTGTTGGCAGCCTCCTCTAGAGCTAAAGAAGTACAGAAAAAAGCATTTTACACAGAGCAGGCTAACAATGTAGAATTCTAAACTAGTCATGCTTTATCTCAGTTACGATTTTAAATTAAATGGCATTTATAATAGATCAATTGCCGATTTTTTTTTTTAACATCAAAATTCGGGGCAAAGCATTAGAAAGATTAGTCCCATTAGAGAGCCATTAAGACGGTTAAAAGGCCAGAATACACGATATGCAAGGAGAGGCTTCACGGTAGATGGTGTTCTTTATCCATATGCTGATTGTGACTAAATATAAGGGAACTTAATATATCTGACATGCCTGCTCCTCTGTCAAGTATTGTTGTACTGGCCAATGGATTCAAAGTGAAAGCAGGCTTACAGGTGTATCGAGATAGATAGCAGCGGGACTGCAGGAGTCTTGTTTCCTCAGGCAAAATCAAGTAATTTCTGTATATAGTAAAGAAATATTACCAAAAAAACCCCAACAACAAAAACATCAGATTGAAGTGCTTTTTTAATCCTTACCTTAGAACTTGTCCTTGTACAGATCTTCTTATGACTTATTCACTTGCATTACTATAGACTACAGGATCTCTTGATGGGGGAAAAGAGGGAAGGGAAAAAAAAAGACAGACTTAAAAACAATGCAGGGGGCAGCATCAGCTGTGCTGCATACATCCATATCTTTAAGAGGTACCTGTCTGCACTGTGTGGCTTCCAACTGTTTGCATTTGTAGCGTAAAGAACAAGGGGATAAATGTCCTCGCAACAGAGGAGAACAATCAATTAACCACTAATGTTATTAAATTGCTTACAATATAAACAAATCATTTCACTCTCTAAATCCAAACACAGAATTACAACTTGTGGCACCTTTGTCATAAATACTTTTAGCCAGTGTTCTCACTATAGTCTATCACTTTTTTCTCCTTCAATAGATCTCACCTAATGTTACCAAGTGTTTTGTCTACGTAATTATAGAAACAACAAAATTTTACATTGAACAAGCAATCTCTGGAGAGCATCTTTCTTCCTAGGACTGTCTAAGAGAGGTATTTTCTGCATAGGTGGGGGACTTCAGAATACCGTTTCCGCAGCTTACAATATTTGTCTTTTTATGTGTTAGAGTCCTGCTTCTGAAACAAAAGCAACTACATTCTGAGATATGCAGTGGAGTATGGGTTTAATCAGCTAACTGGTTGTGGGTCAATAAAGCAGTCCCTTGCCCTATTAGGAAGAAAAGCTTGAACTAATAACTAATCTGATGAATGCTGGTTTTCTTTTCAAATGAATGATATCCAGCCTAGCAGATTTGGAGATAACCAAGTTCTCTTTTACCGCAAAATAAGGCCATTACAGCAAGTTTGTGTGACTTATGAGTTCTTTCTTCCTAAAGTTATTTTTCCCCCTGAAAAAACTCCTAATAAGATAATCCAGTATTGGTATAGCTGCACAGAAATTATACCTATTTGCTGATATAACATAGTTGCATGTGCACTAAACACAGATAAGTATGCTCACTAACACAGTTTATGAAATTTCCTGTTAGTCTGTTCAGTAGGTATTAACAACAGGTGGCCTTCTGTGGCATGTTTTAAAGCCCAGGTAGCTGTCTTGGAGCAAAATAACGAGGAGAAACATTTACTCCAGTAGCTTAAACAAGAGGAGAAAAAAAAAGAAATACTTAGTCACATAGACAATTTAAAATAGTTGATTCCGCAGTCAGACATCACCAGCATTTGCTCCCATCTATACACATGGAAAGCAAGCAAGTCAATCATTAATATAGCGCAATTAGCTATGCCTACTTTTATATCAGAAAGGTCGCATGACTGCCTGGATGAGTACAAAAAGGACTGAAGGGCTAAAGACTAGCATTCCGTACATAAACTCTATATATCGCAAAACACTCCTCCCCCTCCCCCAAAACCACTCTGCAAAATGTACCAGAATATTCCAGTTAAACTTGACAATAAAGGCATATTCAAATAATTATGTCACACATTTAAAGGAAATTTTAGTTCTTTAGATTCCAGTCACAATTCAAGGCTACGTATAGATGGAGAATAAATAGCTATTTTTCTTTCAGACCATTAACACAGTTTATCTATTTCAAGTGTTAAAATATGCCCATCGGCTTCCGAGTATGCATCCAGATATCCTTACACAAGCAGTTTTAGTGGTCTCTCCAACCTAGCAGGTAGAGCAGAATGTATTCTGAAGAGCTAGAAGAACAGCAAAAACTAATTTTATGGTCTGTTGCCAATAATTTGCTGGTCCCTAACGCTATCTAGCTTCAGTACTGAAGTAAAGGTATTTATGATTTAACCAAATGCCATGGTAGTATTATCAGATTGTAATAACCTTGGCTTTGGAGATAGTGAGAGACATGAGCAGTATGCACTGGTTTGCTTTACTTGCTTGTCTGCCTTGAATTTATGCATGCATTAATTTCAGTGTAGGAGTAGCGTTTTTCAGTTTACTTTACAAATCAAATAAAGTTGAACGAGGGCAGGAGATCGGCTCAAGATTTCAAATTAAAAGAATGATGGAGCAAAGACATCCAAGCGGAGAAAATGAAGGCTGCAATAAGAGGAGAGGATTAGGAAGAGCAGAGACTCTTATCTCCAGGAGGGGTCCACAGATCTTTTACAAACACTTACTTCACAGCATTTTAATTATTAACAGCATAAAGAGAAGCAGAAAGTTCCTTTCCCGTGTGTTCAAATCCTAGCAGCAAGAACACCCTCAAATGTTCAAATATTAATGATATAAAAGGCAGTCAGTACAAAGATCCCAAAGAGTCCATTATTGTGCAACACTATCCACTGCCATTTTGCAAATTACAAAGGACAGGAGTATTACGTATTGCTTGGAAGCAACAAGGAGCTAATAAAAAAATGCTACTGGAACACCTGAACTTAAGTTATCAGCATTGTCCCCGAAAAGTAACTCTCCAAGAAAATTGTTGTAACAGATTTCTATCTAACTGTTAGAGACAGCACAAAGTGAACCCTCACAACAGGGAATTCCTTTTTTTTTTTTTTATTGGCAATGCAGAGACCTAGACATGAACCATGTATTTCTGTGCTCTACATAGACATGGATACTTTGACAATCTGATTGGGATTGCCTGTAATTCAGAAAACACTTTCAGATACTCTAGCTTTCTCTAGGAACTGAACTTGACCCAAAAATACAAGGTTTGAAGATAACAGAGTTCTATATAGAACCACCTATTTCCCCCCTCATCACAGCTACACACCACCTGATCAGCATCCAAGCCTGTACCTGCAACATCAACAGCCGTCTTGATGCCTTCTGACGCTGCCTGGGGTTAGAGTAAACTAAGTTTACTGTATGCACTTAGTTATTTGCTTACTTGTTGGAAGGCCAAGAAAGGCTGAGGACCAACTTGGTAACTTTTAGTAGGCACCCTAAATCTGACATTAAATTAAATAACATTCTGGCAGCCCCAGTATTTCAATAACATTTTTTATTTAAGTGCCTGTTGTATACACCTACATATTTCAGAGAACAATTCCTAGATAAAGACTAACATTAAAATAAACTGGTAAGATAATTTTACTTTCCCAACAGAAATCTTAAAATATTCATGGGAGAAGCTGCAGAACAAAACTTTTGGGTTTAAACAGCCTTTATGTGAATACACACCGACTCATTAAACAGTAACAGCTGGCAGAACAGGTATAAACTGTACATACTTGGATCAGCATTAACAGTAATTATAGGATTCACCTTTGCATCATGTCCATGACTTGAAATATTTTGTAGCAATAAAATAGCAGAAGAGAGTATTAACCTGCACATGAACATTAAAAAGCCCCTACAGGCCATTTAAATACCTTCTGAAGTCCAGACACATTAGAACAAATTAAAAGGCTAAATTTAAAGTCTCCTAAAGTCAGCTTTTCAACAAACCTGATGGCTAATACGAGTGAGGAATATAATCATTATGGAACAATTCCCTTTTAGACACAGAAGAACCACACAGTTTGCCACCTGTAATTTATGGCGGGCATTAAAGCACCCAGAAAAGCAAGCTAGGGATCTAATCCCAACTGTCTTACCGTAGCTCTAACGTAGGCCAGTGTCGCACTGATGCAACTATGGGTATTTTGTCGGAAACGGATAGTAAGCATCACCATCATATTAGCGCAGTTCAGGTATTAACCAGGAGCTAACTCTTTCAGCCTGATACATGCACAATACTTTTAAGATACCACTGGGTAAATAAGTACTTGTAGGACAGAAGTAACAGCAGTATATTATGACTCGCTGAAGCGCTCTGTTAATGACTAGAGCACAGGCAAATTCTCAGAACCATGCTGTTCCGCTAACACAACTTTGATAGCAACGCGCGAGCTGATTACGTGCTGCAAGAGCTGTATCTGCTAAGAACGAAACCGCTCATTCGCCTGCACCGAGAGCGGCATCACCCTAGGGGAAGGACGCTGACAGCAGGAACAGCACCCGCTCGCTTCGGCAAAGGCGGAGCGGTCCGGAGTGCTCCGCGGCCTCACAAGAGCCGGGCAAGCGGCAGCAGACGACGGCGAGAGCAGCTCGGGGCCGCGGCCCCAGCAGAGCCGCCCGCCCGGAGCCCC